TGCTGCTGCTGTGCCTTCCCACGTCCTCTCTGGCCACCAGCCCATCACCCCCACCCTCTTCTCTCCCCTCCGACTGCCCCACTAGTCTCCAAGGCATTTCACAGGCAACAACCGAAGCAATGCGCCGCCGCCGCACCATGACTGTCGTGGTCGTCCTCCTCATCCTTCTCTGCGGGGAGGATGTCCGCGCCGACTACTCGGTGCAGTTGGCAACGACGGCACTGTACTATGCGAAGGCAGCGTACTGCGAGGCCGAAGCCATTTCCAGCTGGACTTGTGCCTCCTGCGCCAGGAACCCGGGATTGCAAAGGGTGCGTGTATTTACGAATGCCACGCACAGCACGCAGGCGTTTGTGGGCGTCAACGAGAGCATGATTGTGGTAAGTTTTCGCGGGACAGTGGATCTTAATAACTGGCTATACGATCTGGATTTTGTTCCTGTTGCGTACATACAGGATGGCTGCTTTGGGTGTCTTGTTCACACCGGCTTCAATTGCGAATTGGAGTCATTGTGGGCGGAGATGTGGGGGTACCTACAGGAACTTGTTGCGGGGAAAGGAATCGAGGGAATTCTCATCACTGGACACAGCCTTGGCGGCGCCATGGCCAATATTGCCGCTGCCAATTTGATGTCACAGAATTCGTTGTTTACCGGTGCGGTGAAGATTTTGCTGTACACGTTTGGGCAGCCGCGCGTGGGAAACGAGGCATTCGCCAACTGGCTTCTTGCATCGTTTTGCCGCGACGGCCATGAGTCGTACCGCGTGACGCATAAGCGGGATGTTGTGGCGCACCTTCTCCCCATGTTGTTTGGATTTTACCACGCTCCCAATGAAGTATGGTACGACAATGACGGGGACACGGCGCACAAGAACTGCACTGATATCTTTGGCACACCGTGTTCTGCTTTGAACGCCGATGAGGACCCCAATTGCAGCGACAGCATCGTTCCCACTTCCATTGAGGACCACCTGAAGTATCTGGGTGTGTGTACACGCTGTTCATGCGATCCCGGGGAAGCAATGAGCGACGAGGAGCTTCGCCTCCCACCCGAACTTGAACGGATTGTTGCAATGGACTACGTTTATCAGCAATCGAGAAATATGAGGCGTTTTCCGTCTTTCCCCGCGCGTCACAGAGAGTCTTGAGGCCCGCAGAAGAAAATAAGTATTCCTTTCCAAAAAATATTTTTTATAATTTGCCAGCGAATAACTTTTATTGGGTTGATATTTTTTTGATTTATTTTTTAAGCGGATTATTCTGGGAGCTTGTGAAGAGAATAATCGCGGGAAAGCTGGCTCACTTCATTAATTTTGATTTCTGATAAAACGAATTTACTTCTTTATGATACTTTTCTGTCTTATGAACGTTGGAGGAGCACAACTTTAGGGGGAACAGGGAGCAGACAGCGAATAGGCAATTTTATTCTTGTTTTGCCACCCACCCAACCCCCTTTTGATACCCGCCACGCGGCAGGGTCTTGTGCTCGGAGGACCCAAACGTCTGCCACTCCTTAAGTAATTATCTTTTAGATTCTAACTGAGGACAAAGGACCATGCGAACGGTCAATCGAATTTATTTATTGGATAAAAAGAAAACATTGAGGCAATTAACTAACTCTGCGATAACCCCACTTTTTTTCCCCACCTTGTTTGGTTTCCATAGGAAATTTCAGGACCCGGCCAGCAGCCCAGAGGATTATTCTGCGTTGTCTTAAGTGGCACCATTTGTTTGCTCTCCGATGCGGGGGGCGATGGGGATTCCGGAACATCTGCTTTTGGTGGCAGTGTGTACATGTCATTTGAACTCGTGAGATAGTTTTTGGAGACCCGCTGCTGTGGTGGCGTGAGCGTTTTGTCGTCCAGTTATTTGTGTTTCCCTACGTATCTACCGGCGGAATTGCAGCACGGGGTGTGGGCGTGTCAACCCCGTAGGCCTCAACGGGGAGCACACACACGGACGTGCACAGTTTACTTTGTAGACACTGCCTGAGGACGTGATTGCCACGGGGCGGTGGTGGTGGCGCCACACCTACCCACGCCATGTCTGTTATAACTGTTTGTGTGGAGGCTGACAATGGGCACCGCATACTGTTACTGCCACTCCCATAATCGATGTGTCTTTTATCCCATGCTGCTCTTGTTACTTTCGTAGAAGAACTTTTCACCACTTCCCAGCTCCCAATATCCACAATGCGCTCTTACGCATCTCTCGCCGCGCTTCTCAGAGCATTGAACAAGCACCACTGCCAGGTTCTGCTCTGGACTGCTGTTGTGTTGGTGATGCTGCTTAATTTTGTTTTATTGACGATAGACACAAATGTGTGGCAGGTTCCCTCCATCCCTGTGTACTGCAGGGACTCTGCACCCTCTCCAACGCGGGAGCCAAGGGTTGCTCTTATTGTTGTTCATACGGGCTACTCTCCCGGCTGGTGCAGGATGCAGGTGAGCTCCATTCTTTCCCGCGTGTCTGTAACAACGATTGGCATGGGGGCAAATTACACACACAAATCCCGCCCGTCGTTGCTGCTGGACTGCATAACTGACGAGGGCCTGCGCGATGAGGACGTGGTGGTGGTGTTCGATGGTGGCGACACGATGTTCACCGGACCCCTTGGGATAAAGCAGGCCGTGGAGGACTTTGTGGCAACAACAGCGCCCACCGCAGACGACCTCAACGCCACGGCGGTGCATCTAGGTGAGGCAACAGCCCCCTTGTTGTTTGAGAGTGACCCGATCTGTTATGCGCCACAGATGGAGCTTATTGTCCCATGGGGGCCTCAAGAAAACTTTGCGAAATGCATTTGGTACTACGAACGTGTATGGGAGGCCGCCAATTCCTCTGCGGATCAGCGCATGGTGCGTTTTCTGGCGTCGAGGTACCGATAACTTGCTGGTGGAGGAATGGTGGGGCGTGTGTGGGCGTTTCGAGAGGCGTACAAAGCATATGCGAGCCTTCTGGCAACGAGTGATAAGTGGTGGTGTGACCAGAGCATCTGGTCGCTGTTGCATGTGTGGAGCGTGACCCGAGACACGAATGTGACTGCCGATTTCCGCATACGATACGGACTTCTGAGTCTTGACTACAACAACTCCTTTTTTCTCACACCGCGTTACGGGGCCTTTGGGTCCCCGGCGTTGTACCACTTTCCTGGGGGTCCTAACGAGTGGGACAAAATGCCTACTCTGCTGAACCGCACAATGTGGGTGGACTGGCTGCGTTATTCTCCTGAAGTCATGAATGAGACCAGGGATTTTGTGCAGAATGCCACTGTGAAAATATACGACGCCGATCGGAAGGCAAAAACAATTCCCTTTCCTGAAGTCTGCTTGTTGAACGACGTTCTTAATCCTGAATGGTTGGTCCTTCCGCTTCGTAAATAATTTTTGCGGTGGTCATGCCTGGTGTGTTCCACACAATAACACTGTGTGCGCGATGTAACTTGATGTATTGAACAGCTTATGGAAGGATTGCGTCCGATGGTGCAGCCCTTTCTATTGTCCTCTATTTAAATGGAAACCTGTAATTCCTTTTTCGTTTGCTCTTTTGGTTTCTCTCCGGTGTATTGCGGGTGCGTCGTGGTTGAGCCGCGTTGGAGGGTGAGACAATTCTCATTTTTCACCCCACCCACTTCCTCGGGCCAGCCTTGCTGCGTGGTCGTGGGCCACTGGGGGAAGGGCTCGAAAGGGACGCTCATTCGCAAGCCGCCCGGAAACCATTTCATATGTATGCACCAGGTTTGTCTCAGACCACCAGACCGTTGTTTTTTATTATTATTTTTTTCCTTCAAATTCAGGCAGTATTTTGGATTTTTGAAATTTTTCCAATGTTTTCTATTATTATTATTTGACTCTTAACAACTGAAAGCCGTTTTTTCTTGCTTTGTTTTGTTTTTTCTTTCGCTTAGAGAAACATTTTGGACTTTTTGGCATGTCATGAGGTTCTTATTCCGTTATTTTTTTCTTTTTCTCCCCGCTGCTGCTGCTGCTGTGCCTTCCCACGTCCTCTCTGCCCACCAGCCCATCACCCCCACCCTCTTCTCTCCCCTCCGACTGCCCCACTAGTCTCCAAGGCATTTCACAGGCAACAACCGAGGCAATGCGCCGCCGCCGCACCATGACTGTCGTGGTCGTCCTCCTCATCCTTCTCTGCGGGGAGGATGTCCGCGCCGACTACTCGGTGCAGTTGGCAACGACGGCACTGTACTATGCGAAGGCAGCGTACTGCGAGGCCGAAGCCATTTTCAGCTGGACTTGTGCCTCCTGCGCCAGGAACCCGGGAATGCAAAGGGTGCGTGTATTTACGAATGCCACGCACAGCACGCAGGCGTTTGTGGGCGTCAACGAGAGCATGATTGTGGTAAGTTTTCGCGGGACAGTGGATGTTACTAATTGGATAAACAATCTGGATTATATTCGCGTTCCCTACAGGAACAACGACTGCGTTGGGTGTCTTGTTCACGCCGGCTTCAATTGCGAATTGGAGTCATTGTGGGCGGGAGATGTGGGGGTACCTACAGGAACTGTGCGGGGGGAAAGGAATCGAGGGAATTCTCATCACTGGACACAGCCTTGGCGGCGCCATGGCTACACTCGCTGCTGCCAATTTTATGTCGCAGAATTCGTTGTTTACCAGTGCACTGAAGGTTTTGCTGTACACGTTTGGGCAGCCGCGCGTGGGAAACGAGGCATTCGTCAACTGGCTTCTTGCATCGTTTTGCCGCGGCGGCCATGAGTCGTACCGCGTGACGCATAAGCGGGATCCTGTGCCCCACGTTCCCCCCATGTTCGTTGGGTATTTACACGTTCCCAATGAGGTATGGTACGACAATGACGGGGACACGGTGCACAAGAACTGCAATGATGTCTTTGGCACACCGTGTTCTGCTTTGACCGCCGATGAGGACCCCAATTGCAGTGGCAGCATCGTTCCCACTTCCATTGAGGACCACCTGAAGTATCTGGGTGTGTGTACACGCTGTTCATGCGATCCCGGGGAAGCAATGAGCGACGAGGAGCTTCGCCTCCCACCCGAACTTGAATGGATTGTTGCAATGGACTACGTTTATCAGCAATCGAGAAATATGAGGCGTTTTCCGTTTTCCTCACGCTTTACAAGGAGCCTTGAAGCCCGCAGAAGAAAATGAGTATTTGCCAGTTATTAGTGTTGTGAATTGTTTTTCAAGAGTTTTATATAGTTTCTTTGTTCAAAAGCTTGTTTTATGTAAAGGTAGAGCGACGGTTTGGTGTTTTTTGTGGAATGCCGTTTTTGGGCGGGGAATCGACACGCGGGGTGTCTGCTGCCTCCAAAAATGTATTTGGTTTGGTGCGTTACGCACGTCCCCGATGAATGGCACGCTGGTAGAAGCGACATCCCCCGCGGCTGCTGCTGCTGTGCCTTCCCACGTCCTCTCTGCCCACCAGCCCATCACCCCCACCCTCTTCTCTCCCCTCCGACTGCCCCACTAGTCTCCAAGGCATTTCACAGACAACAACCGAGGCAATGCGCCGCCGCCGCACCATGACTGTCGTGGTCGTCCTCCTCATCCTTCTCTGCGGGGAGGATGTCCGCGCCGACTACTCGGTGGAGTTGGCAACGACGGCACTGTACCATGCGAAGGCAGCGTACTGCAAGGCCGAAGCCATTTTCAGCTGGACTTGTGCCTCCTGCGCCAGGAACCCGGGAATGCAAAGGGTGCGTGTATTTACGAATGCCGCGCACAGCACGCAGGCGTTTGTGGGCGTCAACGAGAGCATGATTGTGGTAAGTTTTCGCGGGACAGTGGATGTTACTAATTGGCTACACAATCTCGATTTTATTTTTGCTCCGTACACACACGATGGCTGCTTTGGGTGTCTTGTTCACGCCGGCTTCAATTGCGAATTGAAGTCATTGTGGGCGGAGATGCGGGGGTACCTACAGAAACTTGTTGCGGGGAAAGGAATCGAGGGAATTCTCATCACTGGACACAGCCTTGGCGGCGCCATGGCTACACTCGCTGCTGCCAATTTTATGTCGCAGAATTCGTTGTTTACCAGTGCACTGAAGGTTTTGCTGTACACGTTTGGGCAGCCGCGCGTGGGAAACGAGGCATTCGTCAACTGGCTTCTTGCATCGTTTTGCCGCGGCGGCCATGAGTCGTACCGCGTGACGCATAAGCGGGATGTCGTGCCCCACGTTCCCCCCATGTTCGTTGGGTATTTACACCTCCCCAATGAGGTATGGTACGACAATGACGGGGACACGGTGCACAAGAACTGCAATGATGTCTTTGGCACACCGCGTTCTGCTTTGACCACCAAGGAGGACCCCAATTGCAGTGGCAGTGTTCTTCCCATTAAAGTTGAGGACCACCTGAAGTAACTGGGTGTGCATACAGGCCGCTTTTCTTATTTTTTCAGTAAATACTTTTTGGGGCTTTTTAAGGAGTTTCTTGGGGTTACGGAGTGTCACATATACTGTTTATTTTTTGTGCGCTGTGCTTCCTACCCATTTATTTTAAGTGGCAGAAACTCTTTGGGTTGGGAGAGAGAGGCACTAATTTGATATAGCAAGACCCTTTGTGAATCTAGAGGTTTGCTTGTCCGTAATACGCGGTGCTGTTTATTTTATTTTTTGCATGCGCCTTCATGCATCTTGGCCTTTTTTTAGTGATTGTGTTGTTGTCGCCATAATCTTTTTGGTTTTGGATTATTTCATTTATTTGTTACCCCTTTTTTGTTGTTTGTTCGACCGGGTGTTGTGCGTTTCTTATCGTCTTGAGTACCGTTGTGTTTTTTGTTGGTGCTGGGGAGAGGGCAGGGAGGGACGTGTGTTGATTATGAGTGGTGGATTTATGCGGCGGCGGCGGTGTCCTGCGCGGCGTGTGTGTTGGAATGACGGGCGGTCGTTGTGGTTACTTCTTGCGTTGGTGTGGCTGTGGCGTCTACAGATGAAGTTATTCTATTTTTCTTTTCTTGTATAAATATATTTTTTGCCTGTACTTGTGAAATAGAGGGCCGCCGGAGAGCTTGCATACGTAAGGTTAACTCCCCTGTTTGTTTGGAAAGCCACGAACACTTCCATCATGCTGTTTTCATGCGTAGAGAAGCAGGGCAAGTACCGCGACTTGTGGACGCTGCGCCGCATCGCATTTGACACGGAGACGGGCATGTTGTACTGCACCGCCAGGGAAACGGATTTTCGTGTGATGTGGAAGCACCAGGTGAGGGTGGTTCGCATCATCGCAAGGCCCAGTGTTGTGGATATTGACTACAAGGCGGCGAAGTTTGACGTGCGTGAACTCTTCTCCTTCAAAGTGGAGGGGAGCTTCCGCCACATTGACGCCTCGCTGCTCTCGCGCCTGGAGCAGCCCTCGGACAAGCACGCCGTTGTTCGTCCCCTTCCGAAGCGTGCCGACCCTGCTGGGAAGAGTGTGGGTGATGTGGGAAAAGGAAACATGCTTGCGTGGTACATGCGCACGGACAACGAGACCGATTTCATGAAAATCTACACCACCATCCGTGACGTGCTGATTCGTGATGGGATGCGGCCTCCCCAGTTCTGGGGTCTTCCAAAGATGGACCCGCGTATTGAAGTGCCGCTGGCGGAGCCGCCGTTGTACTTGTGGTGCCGCTTCCGTACTGTGAAGCGGACTGTTTTCTACGCGTGTGTGCATGGCCACATGGCAATAAGAGATGCTGACCTGTCGCTCCCGGGGCGCTCAGTGACCCTGTGCGACGAGCCGTTGTACCTGACGCTCTTTGACAACTCCGTGATGGTGTTCAATGAGGAGCGGCGTCTTGTGACTGGCATTCCCGCCATTCACATCAAATCACTGCACTACTCGACAATGGAAGTGGATGCCTCCAAGAAGGACCCGAAGAATGAGAGGTGCCGCTGCTTCTTGTCATTCCGCTCAAACAGTGAGGAATATCCGGACATTCTGTTTGTGCCGACCCTCGAGCGATTTGCCGATGCGAACGAGGAGAACGTTCCTGCCGCGCAGGTCAACCGCGTGCAAACAGCTCTCTCCAAGCTGGTACTTATGAGGCAGCAGACTCCCCGGATGGCTGACGAATCGGAGACCCCACCAACGGAGCTGACCGATGTCTCGAAACTCATGGCCGGCCTCGAGGACGGGGTGGAGTCCTCCGAAAATGGTCTGCTGGACGTTTACGCAAGAGAAGAAAATGCAAGAAATCTGCTCCGCCTGCCAGTGAGGTTTAAGTTGGAGAACAAGGACTTGGGAGACAGGCTCCTTGGAAAGCTGCCAGTACCCCACCGCCTCAGCGTGCTCGCGTCGCAACTGGGCATCAAGCTTAAGAAGACCCTCACGGATTATCCGATCCGCTACGAGTACCTCTCCCCGGGAGCCACCGTGACGGACCCGACGTGCCAAAGGAAAAAAAGCAACCCCTTGCGCGACCTCTTGCTTATTGCCGGCAAGTACTGAGCGACGTGAGGTGCGTGGCGAGTAGGAGATGCGTGCGGTGGGAGAGGAGGAAAGAGGGAAACAGTAGTGGAAGGAAAGAAATTGAGGGGGAGAATAAAAAGCATTTGGGAAATATTATGCAGCGGCGCAAATACGCATTTATGTTGATTAAGGGAATGAAAGGGAAACAAAAAGATGTGGTTTTTAATATGAACGAGGAAGGCAGCATTGTGCTCCACCTCAGCGGGACAAAGTGATTTTCGCCTCGTTTTTATTATTTTTTGGCTTTTAAAAAAGAAAAAACATCGTCATTGTTTTTTTTTTTTTGTTATTTGGGCAGCCTTCGGTGGATCCAAATATTTATATATTTTTTTTATGGCTTGTGCAAACACAAAGTAATTTTATTGACTTTGGTTCTATTGCCCTTTTAATGGATTTTTTTTTTGTTTTTTTTTTTGTTGTTGTTGTTTTGATTTTTATTTCTGAACAGGAATACATGGAAGGTGGCAGCCGTGTGCATCGAGAGTGTTCCATGCAGAGAGAAGGAGAGGGCTCGTGTAGAGGAGTGTTGTGCAATTCTTTTACAATATTATTTATGGCCGTTGTCATTTTCCGCCCGATGATTATTTTATTTTATTTTTATTTATTTTTCTTTTTTCTTTTTTCTTATTTATTTGTGTGTGTGTGTGTGCCAGAACGACAGCCGTACATAACTTTCTGCCCTTTTTTGCTTTTTTAGATTTGCCGTTGTGCGTGTCTGACGACGAGAACAGGCACGGGTAGGGATAAGCAGGCGGGTGGTGACAGGAAGTAATAGGACGCTGTGGGGGTGGGAGTGGGTGTATATATTCTTTTCTTTTGCAGGCGGGCGAGGGCAGCTGAGAAGTACTCGTGGAAAAGAAGGAACTACAGGGAAGGTGTCGATGCAAAGTGAGGTCGAGTTACTGCTGCGCTCTGGCGGTGCGGCAAAGGCGGACTACGACACCACCGGGCTGCGGCCCCAAGGTCTGTGTCCGACGCCGGTCGAACGCGCCGCCATTGAAAAGGTTCTTAGCGCCACAGAAGAGCGGCGAAAGCGTGAGTCTAAATTTTTGTACGGCGCTCTTATATTTTGTTTTGTGTTTATGATTGTGGAATTTGCTTGCGGCGTCTTTGCCCACTCATTGGCGCTCCTGACGGATGCCTCGCATCTGCTGATTGATGTGGGGGCATACGCTTTGAGCATCATGAGCCTCAAGGCGGCATCCAGGGCGTTGTGTGGGAAGTACAACTACGGCTGGCACCGCGCGGAGGTGATTGGAACACTTGTTTCCGTCTTCTCTATCTGGGCGCTGGTAGTGTGGATCGTGATTGAGGGCATGACAAGGACCTGGAACGTCGTGTCCTGTAGCCGCATGCCGGCAGCGGTAGCCGCCATAACGCAGCAGCGTGGGGGCTCAGGCGGAGAAGTTGTGGCGGACGCCGTGCTGGCTTCCTCGAGGAGGTGCGAGGAGATCAACTCGCCCATCATGATGCTCATCGGAGTGCTGGGGATGTTGGTAAACATTGTGTGTGCGGCCATCCTTTACTGCGGTGGCTCGCACGGGCACAGCCACTTCGGGGGGCATGGGCACAGCCACAGTCACGGGGAGGTGACGAATTGTGAGAGCGATTTGGAGATTAGCATTAACGGCCACACGAAAGATCATTCCGGTCATCATCATACCAATGATGATGATGACTGTGGCCATGGAAACAGTGATGAAAAGGAGGGACATGACTACGATCACAACCATGTCGAAAAGAAAAAGAGCAAAAAGGGCTTTGCCCTTCACGCCGCGCTGCTTCATGCTTTGGGCGATTGTGTGCAGTCCGCTGGGGTAATATTTGCGGGTGTGTTCATTTACTTTGCCAATAAGCATGCCTTTGGTGTCCCTTCTTATCAGTACTCTATTTACAACATTGCAGATCCACTTTGCTCGTTGTTTTTTGCTGTTGTTACACTCAACATGACAAGGCCACTTCTCGGTGATCTTTTTGGTATTCTCATGGAGAGCACACCACCAGGTATTGATTACCTTGCCCTTAACCAAGCTTTACTGAGCATTGAGGGCGTCGTCAGTGTACATGATCTCCATATATGGTCTCTGTCTTCGGACTATGTTGCACTTTCCGTCCATCTTGTTGCAGACGACGCCGCAAAGGCATTGCGTAAGGCGCAGTATGTATGTGAGGTCCTTTTTGGAATTAGACATACAACCATTCAGGTGGATGCGGTGGCAAATGGGGCGGATCTGTGCCAGGGATCGTGCGCGAGCCCAAACTGCGGGAAGGAATACCAGACGATAACTTAGAAACACGTCCGATTAACATTTTAACATGCAAGAAACATTGAATGCACAAGGGAAAAGAAAAAAAAAGGAAAAAAAGAAAAGAAAAAAGAAAGGGGGTTGGAAGGGTTCATATTACGCAGTGTTTTATTAAATGAATTCTATTTTTAGCCTAATGTTTTATCATGAAATATGTTTTATGCATCTTTCTTTTCTTTTCTCCCCATCTCCCCATCTCCCCATCTCTCCCTCTCCCTCTCTCTCTCTATATATATATATGTATATTTATGTGTGTGTTGTGTGTTTTTTTTTTCTTGTACGTTTGTGAAGTGTCACGTAAATGTTGTACTCAACGCAAATTTGTGCGAAGAATTAAATAATTTACGCGACCACAAAAAAAAAAAAAAAAAAAAAAAAGAGAGGAAAAAAAAAATTTTGATAATTTTGAGGTTGGCTACTGAGCGATTCATTCGACGGCCGTGAATACGACCATCCTTTTTTTTTTTTTTGTCTGTGTGTTTCACTGCGTGTGCATTGAGGTAAGTTTTACCCTTTTTTTTGTGTATGCGATTGCGGCTTTGCCTTTATTGTTTTCTTTCCTTGCTTTTTTTTATTTTTAGTTGTTTCTTTTCTCACAATTTATAGTGCACGAGGTGTGGAACTTCCTCCTTTTTTTTTCTTTTTTTTTGGTCCACGGTGGGCGGCTAACAAGGGATGAATACCGCCAAACGTGCAACGACGCGCAAGGCCCAAGTCCCCTCGGAGAAGACCGTCTCTGAGGCGGAGACAAGGTGCCACAGTGCACTCCTTGTTATCGGCACGTACCACTCCGTGATGGCAGGTCTTGTGTACCGCCGAAACAAGTTTGGCATGCTTTTCTCCGTGAAACACCACGAGGGCTGCATTAACAGCGTGGCTGTGGGCGAAAGGTACATGGCCACTTCCGGCACGGACGAGCGTGTCTTCCTCTTTACGAACAAGAACCAGAAGAGTCTCACACCCTCTGAACGGCTACGATTGCGGGCGGCGGGGGAGTCGTTGAGTGTGCGGCTTGCGGATCTTGGCCACATCTCGCCGCCAAGCGAGGTGCGCTCTCTTCTTTTTATTGCCAACTCACAGCAACTGCTCTGCGGCTGCACGGACGGCCAACTCCTCATGTACCGGACTCGCGACTGGTCCGTCGGCCTCTCGCTCCCACTGCACGAGAAGGGCGTTGTGGGCGTTGCGACACATCCGGGCAGTGACGGGGCGTTGGCCGTCACGATTGGCGCGGACCGGCACGTCGCGGTTATAGACCTTGCAAGGGGCCGACTGCTCAGCAAGTGGCGCTACAACGCATCCCTTGAGGGAACTGAAGTGAAAAAGCGGCAGGAGGAGGAGGAAGAGGAAAAGGATGACGACAAAAAAGATGGCACGCCACGCGTGAAGCGGGTCAAGTTGGAGAGGCGCGACGGCCCGCATACGGTGAAGTTCTCACCGAGCGGGAGGTATTTTACTGTCATGTCGAGTCACGCCTTTGCCGTGTACGAGACGGCGACGGTGGGCGTCGTGGCAATTTATCGGACGCC